GTGAATATGCTATTCTCAAGTCCCTTTTAATTAAGCTTTCAAACTTTCTGCTCTCAGCCCTCATCCTGTGACCAGTTTGTATCAGAGAACTTTGTTGGAATGCTTCCCTCTTCAGAACCAGGGATTGAGCTCAGGCCCCTCCCTGGCCCTCTCCTTTGACTTTTTTTTTTTTTTTTTTAAAATATTTATTTATTTATTTAGTGTCTGTGTGTGGCCAGCTCAGCCCACCAGGGGGCAGGGCTGGCTGGCATGTGGTGCTGGGGGATTGAACCACGGTCCCTGTGCTTTGCTTAGCTTAGCTTGTTCTAAGTAGGGGCTTTAGACCACTGAGCCATCTCACCAGCCCCTCCCTTGACTCTTTATTTCACCTTTGTTGGTTCATCATGCTCACTAATCTGCTGGAGGACTCTTGTCCCTCCTCAAAGCGATCTGACCCAGTGTTGTGGCTTCACATGTCATCTACTGAGATTTCCCCACCATACTGAGATCAGCCTCTCAGATATAGCCTAACATCCAACTGAAAGCATCTTCAGTCTTCTGTTAGCTGTTTTAGATGCTCAGGCCACAATACTTGGCATGACACTTCAATTCATCCTCTCACCTTTCACCTATCCCATGAGCACATTCCTACTATTTTTATTTCCATCTACTTCTACCATTTCTCACCTAAAAGTACTGGCACAAACATACAATATGTACTTGAATATACATAATTCCCCTATGCTTTTTGCTCTGCTACCCAGTCATGAAGTGATCCGTTAAAAATGAAATTATGTAGTTTTTTGTCTGTGCAACATTTCTCTGCCTTCTTGGGTCAGCCCAGTGGCCACCTTCCTTGCAGATGTGTTCTCTTGGCCTTGGTCTGCCCCCAGGTGTCCACGTGTCCTATTTCCACACCTTTCTATTTGTATCCAAACGGCATGTTACAGAGGCCTTCTCAGACAACACAATGAAAGTTTTTTCTACTGTTGTTCTCTACACATTCTCCAAGCCCAGGGCCTACAACAACCCATGCCTGAAACTTTCCACCACCAAGTCAAAGTGACATGTGCCTCTGCTGTGTGCAGTAAGTGCTCATCACTTGTTACTCATGAAAAATAGTTTTGCGGCTTCTCTGTATCACCGCTTTGGTGCCTTCTGCCTGCCACTAACTGTTTCCCTCTGAAATACCCCTCTGCCGCGCCACCCTGCCTTGGAACTATGATTTGAAACTTCTACAAACTGTGTGCCACATCTTTTCTCCTTAAAAAAAAAAAAAAAAAAAAAAAAAAAAATTGATTCTGGGCATAACCAGAAAAGGTCCAAAATAGAGACAATCTTTAGACAACTACCTGAATTTCTCAAGGTTTTATCATCAATTAGAAATCTTTTTTTAAAAAATGTATTTGGTTGTTACAGGGTCTCACTATGCAGCTCAGATTCATAATGATCCTGTTTTCAGCTTCTCTGGCGCTGGGTTTATAGGCATACACCACTATGCCCAGACTCTGGCTGGCTCAGCCTGCCCTGGGGACAGGGCTGTCACAGTATATGATGCTGGGATGAAACCAGTCCCCATGCTTGCCTGTTTTCCTAAGCAGACACATTAATCTGCTGAGCTATCTCGCTGGATCTGTAAGTCTTTTCTGAAATACAACTATACACAATAAAATGCAATGTACAGACCTATACTGCATCTGGATGAGTAGACACAGCTCTAAGAACACACCTATGGAATCCCATTACATAGCTGAGGCAAGACAGTGAGCTCAAGATCAGACGGGATTACATAGTATGGACCGGGGGTATAGTCAAAAAAAACACTGGGCCAGGGGCTCAGCTCAGTGTGAGCACCTGCAAGGTCGGAGTTTAATACCTGGTGCTGGAAAAAGTAAATGAAAAATAAAAAATAAAATTGCAGAAATAGGAATTTATAGGAAAACCTTCAGACTAAGGACAGGACAACCAAGATCACGTCCTCAGTGAAGTCCTTGCTTTCAAGAAATTTTTAGGACTGGTTTATTAGCTGGGCTTCAGCTTATCTTATTTCAGGGCCTATCAGATTGTTCTGGTTTTTACAGCACTGACTGAAAATATCTCCATCCTGGCATGTCTGAGGCAGAAAACTGCCTTCCTAGATCAAGCTAGCAGTTTTTCCTTCATTTTAGTCACAAATCACATTATCCACTGTTTGCAATTTCTGTACTTGGGTTTTCACTGATCAGCAGAGGGCGCTAACAGCTACCTGAACACTGCAACTTGTATGAACTTGGCAGACACCAGGGCAAATCTGTTAATCACTTGGCTCTCATGTTTGAATTAGACCAAACAAATGAACAGATGGGAATGTAGCCCACTTAGTAGAACACCTGCCTGGCACACAGGAGGCCCTGCATTTCATCCGATACTGCAAATAAACATTACATATGCATTTCTCTATTTAATTCTGGATGCCACAACCACAAATCATGAGCTGTTTTTCTTCCACTTGGAGTGGAAACCTTAATAGCAGAGAACTGCTCTAGGTCTGCCAATTAAGTGCATTTCATATTCACTTATATACATGACCTTTCTGGACAATGAATCTTTCCCTCTGCCTAACAGCTACCCCACACTGCACTTTTAAAGCAGAAGCTGTCTTCACAAGAGGCTCCATGGCTACTTTAGGACACGTAGGCCTGGCACACTGCTCCTGCGATGTGGAAATCATCAAGCCATATTAATGAGCATGGCACTATTCCAACGAACGGAACAGATTCAAATTGCACGGCACATGAAGCACTCTTGTGACTCCACCCCCCCCAGCCATTCACAACTCTGACCACCTCAGCTGTACACCAAGAGGCGGCAGACAGGCCTGTTTGCCAACCCCCATTCTGATTATCAGGGAGTTTGACATCCATTCCAGACTTTGTTCTACTGGATTTATATTAAATAAGCCCAGACAATACTTTGCTTCCAACTGAGTTAAGTCTTTTTATTCTTTTGGTAATCTCTTCCAGGGTTAACTACTTCCATTGTAGGTGATGAAATATGTAAGGCTCCACTTCAAATGTTGGCACTGCTATGAACATAGTCTCTTTCCCTTCTCTGCAACTCAGAATTAAAACTTTGATTCTTGTTTTATATTCCAGTCTCAGAAGTAGTTCCACTGCAGAAGTTATTTGCAGGCAGTCTTATGCTTTTTAGCAGTGGTCTCTGACCAGGTTCTATCTTCTCCATGAACACTACCAATGGACTTAGTTTGATATGTATTGAACTAAGAGGCATTCTCTCAAATGAGTTTAAATGCACTTTATTTTTAGACAACCTACATGACGTGTTTTTTCCCTAAAAACAATGCCTCCACTCCAAATAAATCACGGTCAAAATAAACGAAGCGTTCAAGATGACATCAGTCCCATTTGTCTAAAATCCTGGTGTTGTGTAGATGACATGCCGCAGCTAGTTATGACAAGTGATAAATCCAAGGTTACCATCGAATCCATTACTGTAAAAATAAGGAAAATTATTTTAACATTCTCTTCAGTTAAAGAGCACTAAACTTTTATACCATAGAGATGTACTCCCCAATTCAATCTGGGCTGCCATAAAGACAGACAGAAAGCGCAGGGATTTTTTCCTTTAGCATCCTAGTGCAAACCCAAAGAACAACAAGTTGTTCAAGGTCTATCAGTGGATGCGGGACATCCTTACCAAATAAGAGGTACACTATTTTCTATAAGTCTCATCCTGCATGAGGTACTGTCAACAAAAACTTCACATACTGGCTGAATAAGCACCTTGGTGAAGTCATTTCGTTCTAACTTTTGCCCACTGTAGACTCTTAATTTACTTTACGAATCTCTCACATTTCAAATACAATCCTCTTTAGACTACCAGTGGAAACAAAAAGCCATAAAAAGCTTGATGCCATGTTTTATTTTATTTATTTATTTATTTATTTATTTATTTATTTGTAGAACCGGGGATTGAACTCAGGCCCTTGTGCTTGCCAGGCAAGTGCTTATTCTACTGAGCTATCTCCTTGGCCCCAATGCCATGTTTTAAAACTATACTGGGTAACTACTACCCTAGTGGCACAAAGCAACTATACCTAGAAAACCTCCATATTTACATTACTTATTTCAAACCACTTTCTGATACTTACACATTTTTCCATTTCTAAACCATCCTTAAAGAAAATCATAAATGGGGTCACACCATCCTCACGGTAGTCCAGGAGAGCAACCATGCCATCTGGATTCATGTTTGCACCAATAAAGAACTTGGGAAAAAAATACTCAGAATTAGATCATTATGTATAAATACGAATCCTGTCACAGCAAAATGCAACACAACAAAGCACACACACACACACAATCAAGAACTTTCACTAAGTACAAGCTTTTAATGCTCAAACATCAGTTCAGACTGATCAAAGCACGAATAACAACTAAAATAGTATAGCACAATGCAGCAAAACACTAGGTTTTCTAGAAATTTTCATTTTCTTGATGCCACAAACATTTGTAAACTCCACTTGCTTATATATCTAACCCTGGGAACATAAAGCTGTCAATAAAGTGTATCACATGGTGATCTGATCTTACAGCCAAAAGGTAAGACAGCCAGACATCTCTAAGGCAAGACTGTGATGTGTAATCAAAAAAAAAAAAAAAAATCTCTGCCAAAAAAACCCCAAACAACAAAAAAACCACCTTATAGGTAAGAGGTCACTTAAGTTTCTTAATAACAGTACTCGTAAGCCCAAGTAGCAGAAATACCCAGTGGCATGCAGTGTACAATGAATTGTACACAAAGTTGGGCTACTATGACAATCTGACAGGAAGAACAGCAAACTGCCATTTAAGAAGCCAGTGGGGGTTTAAAAAGCAAAGACAAGATTTTAAGAGCAAAAAACTACTTTGAGCTTCTGGATTCCAGCTGAGTCTACAAGTTCAATTTAATTACAGGCTATTAAGAGAAACAAAGCCTTTATTGTTAAAGAACAAAATCTATTCTCATAGAATCTTCTTAAAGCTTTGTAACATTCATCAACCTACTAAAATATTTACCTGATAGTTTTTGAAATTAGCAAGGATGTGCTTGATTTGCTCTGCAGCCCCCGTCATAAACGGTTTTACTCTTTCTGGTCTTTGTTCTTCAAGTTTGCCTTTGATTCTAAAAGAGTTTACGTAAATAGGTTACTAAAAGATTGAATTTTGAACAAAATCAATTTTTTTTATTAAATAAAAAATAAAATTCTGCAGATAATCTACTACTGTTGTGGACTGCTGGACTGTGTTGGATTGTTTTGCTGAATTCAAGCACCTATAGTATTTAGATGCCAATAGAATACCCATTATCTCTGACAAGACTAAACAAAAAAAGGGGATACAAAAGGAGGACCATTTTGTATTTGTATATACAGAATAGTTGGGTCAGATATACAGCTACTTTCACTTAATTCAATGAGAAGATTTGTACTAATTAAGTGTTTGGACAGGATAACCACTAAGAAGATAACAATGTACAATGTATTAATTATTGAAAATGTCGTATTAACCAGCTTTGAAAATATCTCATTGATATGTTTCCCAATAAAATAAAATAATATAAAAAAATACAGGCCATAACTTTAAAGGCTAGCTGTCAATGAGCAGAGTAATATTCACACAATTAAGGTACTACTATTCTGCAGAATGGATCTTTCAGCAATTGTTTATAGTGGGGTCATATCTCAGTAACACAGCCTCTGCCTGGCAATCCCAACTGTCAACTAGACTGCATCCTCCAGTATACTCATGTCAGACTGTTAGCAAAAACCAACTACATTTGTCTTTTTTTTTTTTTTTTAAAGGCTTTTCCCAAGATTCTCTACTGCTAGAACTAAACATGCCAATTCCTAAATCCTCCAAGGTCCTAGACATCAGTTAGGCACTGCCAATGCCACTTACGATTTCATATAATCTTTGATGTATTTCTTGTAGGCCTCTTTTGTGAAGCTGGTTTCCTGCAAGTGATGGTTCATTACAATATCTACACCAGTGACTACAGTGCTTTCGGTGCCTTCGCCCTCTGGGCCTTCAGCGGAGGCATTGCCACCAATGAGCGCGTCGTCAATGGCACCCTCTGTTCTACTGACCATCTGTATTAAGAAAAAGCAGTTTGTTTGTAAGAGGGGAAAAAAAAAATCTCTAAAATACCTCTTATACTAGTTTAGGCTCGGTACCCAACATGTTCTCACCCAAAATTACTAGTTCTCGTTGAAAAACCAGTTCCCCAGAAACAACCTGACCTATCAATAATCGTGGACCGGAACGACAATGAGGTCACTGCCACAAAGTGGAGGCTGTCCACAGATGTGGGTGCTCGAGCTGTCACGGCTCAAGCAACAACAGACACACGCTTGGCCTGGGACTCCGACCCGGGTCTTCTCAGGCACAGCCCGGAAGGAGGATGGGCGTCGTGGCGGCGGACCTATTTCCAGGCTCAGCTCCGCCTTCACTTTTCTAGAAAAACCCAAGCCCGAAAAGCGTCTCCTCCGCCAGGAGGCGGCGGAAAGGATTGCACAACCCCAGGCGGGGGAGCGGCCGAAACCCGAGCCCGCCCGCCTGGCCCTGCCTCCCCCACGCGGCGCCCGCCGCCTCACCTTGCCCTCCACCTCCAGGCACAGCCCGTCCGCGATCTCCCGGATCTTGTAAATGTCGGAGAACATCTCATCGTCTGCTCGGGGACACAGAGCCGATCGTCACCGGGCGCCGGGGGCCTGGGCCCCGCCATTTCCCGCGCCGGCCGGGCGC